CCCTGCCTCGGTGGGAGAAGGCCCGACTTGTTGAAAAAAAAAAAAAAAAAAAAAAAAAATAATATACCTCAACGCACCACTCACCTTTTTTCCCTCATCAATTCTATGATTAACCTCATCCTTCATAATCCATCCGCCAACACGTCAACTCCCAAGTATCTGAAACATTCACTTCTTCCATACTCCTCCTCCCCAATTTGATATCCAATTTTTCTTTACTAAATCATTTGGGTACCCTCATCACCTTACTCTTTTCTATTTTTCACTTTCAGCTTTCTACCTTAAAACACATTCCCAAACTCATCCACTAACCTTTGCAATTTTTCTTAGAATCTCCCATAAGCACAGTATCATCAGCAAAAAGTAAATGTGTTAATTCCATTTTGTATTTGATTCCCCATAATTTAATCCCACCCCTCTCCGAACTCCCTTGCATTTACTTCTTTTACAATCCAGCTATAATTATATTAATATATTAAAATTTTTAGTTCATATGGGTAAAAAAATTTTTTTGCCATTTTGGGGGTTCTTTGCACGGAATTTAATTTGATTTCCATTATTTCTTATGGGGAAAATTAATTCACCTAACGATAATTTCGCCTAATGTTGAGCTCTCAGGAACGGATTAATAGCGTTAGGCGAGGGTCCACTGTATTTTATTCATTCTAGAGTATATATCATGTTTCTATGTTATTTATATTGTTTATTATGTCATAGATGAAGTGAGATAGATAAATAAGCCATTGAGTTGATATTAGCGAAATTACTGAAGTACAGAATTCCACTGGGTACGAGATTCTTATATTGCATTTCTATTATTTAAATGAGGAAAATTGACTCTGCAAATGAGCAAATCCAGTTGCGAGCAAGGTCATGGAATGGATTAAACTCGCAAGTAGAGGTTCCACTGTATTTACTTTTATGCATACTACTGAATTACTGTAATATTTGTATAATGTCAGTGCATCCCTAAATGCATATCAAACCGGCAAGCTAGACACGTATTGGACAAGTGACTTCATTTGTGTACTCTGGAATATCAGCAAAAATCAAGCATTTCCACTATTTTGAGCTAATATTTCAAGCTACTTTCAGTTTCCTTGAGGGAACCAATCAAATTTTCTTCTCTATTTCTTATTAAATCTTCCATTCTATCAAATGAGAATACAACCATAGAAACCATATGAAAACACACTGCAAAGTCACTGTTTTAAACCAAAAAACCGATTGCAGTTTTTCTCATTAAGCACTGCGTGCTGCCAGATTTTTTTACATGGTGCACACTTACCGCATAGACCCATTCTCTCATATCTAGGCTCAAATTAACTGCTCACAGCTTACATGAGCGAGCTGAGCTCATGGCATTGTACTACAGGACTGACACTGCTTGAAAGCCATTATATAATTGGACCGACACCAAAGGGCTAAATGGGGATCCGTTACTTAGAGGTCTGACTGTACTTCAGTGGGAAATGGCTAGTTAGGAAAATAAATTGATGTCAGGGAATGATACCAAAATTTTTACCAATACTAATACTCAGTTTTAGACAGATACCGCTACAAACCGATCTTGATGCTCAATTTTAGGTCAATACTGATATTTTAGCACATCTGAATCAGGGCCACAGTATAGAATATAAACAACTTCATTTGAAGGCATTTCCACAACTTTATTCTTCAGTGACCACATGAAAAAACTAAATGAATCCTAGAAGTTCAAACCTATATGCCTAGCAACACTGCATCAAAAAACACTGTGGAGCTTTTAACCCTTTGAGGATTTCGGCTGTACTAGTACGGCTTACGACCCAGGGTTTTTGACGTACTAGTACGCCTAAATTCTAGCGCCCTCAAATCTAGTGGGAGAAAGCTGGTAGGCCTACATATGAAAGAATGGGTCTATGTGGTCAGTGTTTACCTGGAGTTTACCTGGAGAGAGTTTCGGGGGACAACGCCCCCGGGCCCGGTCCGGGACCAGGCCTCCTGGTGGATCAGCCCCTGATCAACCAGGCTGTTGCTGCTGAGCTGCCACGCAACCAACGTACGAGCCACAGCCCGGTGATCAGGATGACTTTAGGTGCTTGTCCAGTGCCTGGCTTGATGATGCCTGGGGTCTGTTGGTAATCCCCTTATGTGTTGCTGGAGGGCAGTTGAACTGTCTTCGGGCCCTGACACTTATTGTATGGTCTCTTAACGTGCTGTGACACCCTACTTTTTCATTGGGGGGATGGTGCATCGTCTGCCAAGTCTTTTGCTTTCGTAGTGAGTGATTTTCGTGTGCATGGTTCGGTACTAGTCCCTCTAGGGTTTTCCATGTGTATATAAGCATGTATCTCTCCCTCCTGCGGTCCAGGGAATACAGGTTTAGAAACCTCAAGCGCTCCCAGTAATTGAGGTGTTTTATTCTCCGTTATGCGCGCCGTGAATTGAGTTCTCTGTACATTTTCTAGGTCGGCAATTTCACCTGCCATGAAAGGTGCTGTTAGAGTGCAGCATATTCCCAGGCTCCTAGATAGAACAAGTGACCTTGAAGAGTGTCATCATGGGCTTGGCCTCCTAGTTTTGACAGGTTCTCATTATCCATCCTGTCATTTTTCTAGCAGATGCGAATGATTACAAGTTATGGTCCTTGATGGCGAGATCTCCGACATTAATCACTCCCAGGTCTTTGTCGTTGTTGTTCTCGCTCTATTTGTGTGGCCTGGAATTTGTTTTGTACCTTGATGAGATTTAAATTCCTCATGTTTTACCATAATCTGAGTAATTGAAAATTTCTCATCGTTGAAACTTCTTTTGTTTTCACAGCCCACTGAAAGATTTGGTTGATGTCCGCTGGTCTTGCTGTGTCTGCAATGGAAGACACTGTCATGCCAGATTCGGTGTTCTGCAAAGGAAGACACGGTGCTGTGGCTGGACAGCTTGTCTATGTCGGATATGAGGTTGAGCGAACAAGGATGGGAGCTTGTAATGTGCTTGTGGAACAGAGCTTTTCACCGTAGCTGCCCTCGGACTTTACTCTGTTGACGAATACTATCTGGTTATGTTAGTGAGGAAATTATAGATCCATCGGACAGACTTTTCCTGTTATTCCTCTTTGCACGCTTTTGTGCGCTATTACGCCATGCGGTCACACTTGTCGATGGCTTTTGCAAAGTCTTTTTTTATTACAATCCGCATTCTTTATGTCTTCTAGTGCATTTAGGACTTGTCGTAGGGTACAATTAGTTGAGACAGACACGGGAGCGACCTGTTCTAAACCTGTTGTGCCCTGGGTTGGTAACTGATGGGTTTCTAGATTGGGTGGTGTCTTGCTTATTCGGACCTTTTCAAGATTTTATTGATATGGGGGTGTTAGTGCTATTGGTCTGTAGTTCTTTGCTATTGCTTACTGCCCCTTTGTGGAGTGGGGCCCTATGTCTGTTGTTTTTTGTAATGAGGGACGACCCCAAGTGTCCATTGCTCTCTCCATAGGATGGAAAAAGGGCTCGTGATAGCGGGCTTTTGCAGTTCCTTGATGAACACAGAGTTCCATGAGTCTGGCCCTGGGGCAGAGTGCATGGGCATGTCATTTATCGCCTGTTCGAAGTCATTTGGCGTCAGGATAACATCGGATAGGCTTGTGTTAATCAAATTTTGTGGCTCTCTCATAAAAAATTCATTTGATCTTCGACTCTCAGTCTGGTTAGCGGCTTGCTAAAAACTGAGTCATATTGGGACTTGAGTAGCTCACTCATTTCCTTGCTGTCATCTGTGTAGGACCCATCTTGTTTAAGTAGGGGCCCAATACTGGACGTTGTTCTCGATTTTGATTTGGCATAGGAGAAGAAATACTTTGGGTTTCTTTCGATTTCATTTATGGCTTTTAGTTCTTCCCGCGATTTCTGACTCCTAAAGGATTCTTTTAGCTTAAGTTCGATGCTTGCTATTTCTCTGACCAGTATAAAAAAAATCCTGCAGCACACAGTGCATAATGAGAAAAAAAAAACTTTGACCGTGTTTTTGGAATAAAACAGCAACTTCGCACTGTATTTTCGTATGGTATTTATTGTTGTATTCTAGTTTTTTTGGTCTCATTTTATAGAATGGAAGACATATTACAGAAATTGAGATGATTTTGACTGGTTTTACAATGAAAAGTACCTTGAAATTGAGCTCTAAGTAGCAGAAATGTTCGATTTTTACCAAAGTTCAAAAGTAAACAAATCATGCCAAGCGTCCAATACTCGTCAACTGGTGAGTCTAATATTCTTTCACAAGTGCACTGATATTATTTATACCATTTCTACACTAATGCAGTAGTCTGCATAACAGTAAATCTTCTATTTTTTGTAAGAATAAAAATTGAAAGTGGAAAGCCAAAGAAATATAAGAGGGGCCTGGGGATGTGACTAATAAACAGAGGAAATGCTATTTTAGTGCCAGGAATGTCTTTCTTGTTTATTCTGGACTCTATTTGGAAATTGGCATCTTTTGAAATTTGTGTGAAATTGGCAAAATTGCTAAATTCTGACCATTGTACTGGATAGTTGAAATCAGTAAACGAGTAGTTTCTTGTACTCATTCAATAGGAAAATGGAGTTCTAGAGAAATAGTTATGATTTTTGTCGACTAGTACACTGGAACTGGCCGAAAATAGGGCTCAAAGTGGGCAAAATCACAGATGCGTAAATATCGTCGAGACCGCTAACTTCACTAGAGCATAATTCCGTAAGTTTTCCATCAAATTTCATACTTTTGGTGTCATTATGATTGGGGAAAGATTCTCTATCTTTTCATAAGAAAAAATAATTTTTTTTTTTTAAATTTGGCCGACCCTGAGAACAAGTCTCGGAGAGGGCCTGTCGACCCTCAAAGGGTTAAAGTCTACATTCCATTCTGTAAGATGGATGGACACCCAAATTTGGTTTAGGCCTAACCACAATAGTCATTTAATGGAAAATTCTTAAGATTATGTCAAACCTCTAAATATTAAGAGGTTTGGGGTACCATTATTCACTTACCTCCAGAGAGATCTATAGGTCTATTAAGTCTTATGAGACCAATATCATCAGAAAACTTTACTCTAGTATCATAATCAGGATGAGTTACGACTGCCTCAGCAGTGAAGTTCTGGGCAGGGAGTGAGCAATACTCATCTCCCAGGCGTGTCATGTAGCAGTCTGGGTCAGTTTTTATATCCCATTCTCCTAACCGGATGACCTCACTAGAATGAAAATGAACACTTGAATAATAAAAATATGCATTAAGCTAATTATACATTCTGATGAATAAATGCAATGTGAAAGTTCCTCAACTGAAGTCTTTAATGTTTAATCATAACACTTCTTACATTTAGTAATCATTGCACTTCTTCCCATTAATTTGTGAAAATTAAAAATGTATACAATTGTAAGAAAATGCATTACGCTTTTAATTTACTTAACTAAAATTAAAATGCTCAACTACCCATGAGTCATGCAATGTCAATAAACAGTTAATACAAGTACAGTGGTCCCTTGAGTTCCAATATTAATCTGTTCCAGAAGACGTATTGTACCTGCAAACCATTGCAACTCAAACCGCTATGGTAGTACATTCCAAGACTCCAAAAGTGCAACTCATACTGTACCTTACACACTGTCAGATATAACCTGCAGCCACTATCTCCCTTCATCTACTTCTCTCTTATCTACAATCACAACACTCTTTTCATCTCTATGATAATTTCTTTGTCCTTTTTACTAGCTTAGATTCATCAGCCACTTTAATATTCTTTATTATTTCTTTTTGCTTGATAATATTAAAGATAGTTGTCTGTGGAAAGCCATACTCATGCACCAATGCTTGATCTTCAGAGAAATGGCTGTCTACTGTACACTTTAGGGGCCATGATGACCTGTTAATGCAAAAGATGATGTAATTTTCATACAAAAGCAGTTATGAAGGCTAAATAATCCAGAATTAGTGTGAAAACATCTGTAATAGCTTCAGTCTAATGAGTAAATTAACTGTAGTGCAAACTCTGCTATTGGCTGAGATGCTACCATAGAGACATTCAACCCCACTGCTGACTGGCTGCTAAGCTGCCCTCACAGACCCCCACTCCTATTGGCTCAGATGCAAACTACCGGATATCTGGTTTGCTAAGGCCCACCCATATAAAAACTGATGCTTCTATTGGCTTAAATACTACCCAAGAGGCAAGTTACCACTTTACTGGTTGGCTGAGGGCCACCCACATGTGCCGTCCACAATAATAATAATTGTAGATGAATGGTTCAGAGAACCGACAAGTTGATAAATTAGACACATGTGCAACTCTTGGGTATCTTTACTGAGGAAACGTTTTGCCACACAGTGGCTTCATCAGTCCATACAAAGGAGAATCATGAAGAACAGGAGGAGAATGAGGTAATCAGTCCCTCAACCTTGAGTCAATGTGATCAGTCCATCAATCTTGATTAGAATACAGCATATGTGTGGAGAAGTAGCTTATATACTGTAGGCAGGAGAGGTGCAGCAGTTGTAGGTGGTGTCACATTTGTCCAATACGGAAGTAGGTCGTGCCCAAGGGTTAGGCAAGCGAAGAATTCCCAAGTACAGTGGAACCTCAAATATTGAACTGCTCCCAACTCAACCAATTATGTAAGTGTATTTTTGTAAGTGCTTTTATAAGTGTATTTTTGAGGGTCTGAAATGAGCTAATCTAATTTACATTATTCCTGATGGGAATAAATTCGTTCGGTAACGGCACTCGAACAGCCATCTGGAACGAAGAAAGTTCAATATTTGAGGTTCCACTGTATTAAGATCCCAAAAAGTTGCAGTGTCTGACAGGATTGTAGATGAAGGGCTCAGAGAACTGACACGTTGATAAATTAGACACCTGAAGAACAGGAGGAGAATGAGGTAATCAGTCACTCAACCTTGAGTCGATGTGGTCAGTCCAGATGGACTGACCACATCGACTCAAGGTTGAGGGACTGATTACCTCATTCTCCTCCTGTTCATGATTCTCCTTTGTATGGACTGATGAAGCCACTGTGTGGCGAAACGTTTCCTCAATAAAGATACCCAAGAGTTGCACATGTGTCTAATTTATCAATAATAATAATAATAATAATAATAATAATATAATAATAATAATAATAATGTGTATGTGTTAATGCTTTAGCTTCGAACTTACAAAGTCTGACAAGGAAGATGTGAGTGTATGCACCCAGCTGTAGTGCCAGTAATACAGTAATAATAATTTTTCCTACAAGTACATGAAGCAACTATTACAGACCTAGCTGACATCATTAGTAAAACTACTGTATACAGAAAGACTTTGGTTATGCAGATTATTTCAGGTTCCCTAGGATGTGACCCCAAAACAGTTGTACCATCATATGCACATCGTCTCTAATTTTTAATAGCAACTCAAAACAAGATTCCTCTATGGGGGTAAATAGTAACTAAAAATTATTGTAACTAGCCCATGATAACTCCAGGGACCACTGTATAAATTAAATACTGTAGCAACAAAATATTTCTTTATAGTATTCAAAATAAAACAATACTGTATCTTGTACCTATTAGGTCACTCGCTTTAATATCAGATAACTTTAAATACAGTACTTACAGTTTCCTTGCCTGTAATGCAGAATGATGCAGACAATGAGCAGCAGTTAGTATGTATCTTTCACTAATAACTGACCCACCACACAGGAAGTGTATCCCTTGGGATCCAGGCTCTATGAAGGTAAATTTCTTTTAGTAAAGTTATGCATTACTTATGCAAACTGTTACTATCATTTGAGTGGAATATCATTATAAACCAAAACAAAAATGTAACTGCATAACTCATTTTAACATAATATTTTTCCTTTAAAGGGGGTGGCTTGATGCAGGTGAAGGGTTTTTTTGCAATGAATTGTTGCTACCCTCCCCAAAATTAAATCACACGTGATTACTTCCTATTCCTTAGGCACTTTGAATGATCTCATTTTAGTGCTCTCACAATAACAAAAGTGTACATTTTTTGAGCAAGGGGATTACAGTGCTAGTCACGGCATTATGCGGCCCCTCCCCCACACACGTACCAAAACACAAATACGTACCATGAAAGGTTATACAGGTCCTCCATCACAAATCCGGCATCATTGGGACCTGTAGTGTGCCGGATTACTGAGTTTGTCGAATTACAGAGTGGTTAGGTTAGAATACACTTAATAAAATTAACCAACTTGACTTACACAGTTCATTGAACATCGGCAAAAATCAAACATTTCCGCTATATTGAGCTCAATTTCAAGGTACTTTTCATCATGAAAGCAATCAAAATCATGTCTATTTCTGTATTATATCTTCCATTCTATCAAATGAGTCCAAAAAATGAGAATACAACCATAAAAACCATACGAAAATATACTGCAAAGAAGCGGCTAATGGCTGAGAAGTGAACTCCCTTATTTATCGTCCGTCTTTTTTATTTTTGTTGTACGTTAAGAAGCATCTTTCCATCATACATTGCCCAAGTTTCAATGAGATAGCCCAACAAACAACCGAGAAAAAAAATATTTACGAAAAATCATATATGGCAAGCCCAAGCCAGGTACTGGAAATAAGTCACTTTGTCTGACTTTTCTGGGTTATCCCAGGTTCTCTATACATACACTGCTATGTATGATAATCTATGTAACTGTATTTGTGTATACCTGAATAAACTTATTTACTTCTAGTCTGATACTGAGTACAAGAAACCGCCCATTCACTTATTTCAGCTACCCAATAAAGTGGTCAGAAATTGGCAATTTGGCCTATTTCACACAAATTTCAATAGATGCCAATTTCAAAATAGGACCCAGAATAAACAATGTAGACATTCCTGGCACTAAAATAACATTTTCTCTGTTCATTAGTCACGGCTACAGGCCCCTCTTATATTACTCTTGCTTACCATTTGGAATTTTTATTAACAAAAAAAAATAAAAGATTTACTGTTATGCAGACTACTGCATTGTTGTAATAATTGTAATAATGTCAATCCATTCTTGACTCCATATTGGAATTTGGACTGACAGGCGGACAGGTATTGGACAGTGACGTCATTTGTTTACTCTTGAGCTTCACTAAAGAATAGAACATTTTCGCTACTGTGAGCGCAATTTCAAGGTACTTTTCGTTATGAAAGCAATCAAAATCATATCTATTTCTGTAATATATCTTTCATTCTATCAAATGAGACCGAAAAAATGAGAATATAACCATAACAGCCATACAAAAATACAGTGGACCCCCGGTATTCGATATTAATCCATTCCTGAGAGTTCATCGAATACCGATAATATCGAAAACCGAATAAATTTTCCTCATAAGAAATAATGGAAATCAAATTAATCCGTGCGCGACACCCAAAAGTATGAAAAAAAAAATTTTTACTACATGAAATATTAAGTTTAATGCAATAGAATAATTACAATAACAATAAAATAATTGACACTTACCTTTAATGAAGATCTGGTGATGATTGATGGGATGGGAGGAGGGGAGAGGTGTTAGTGTTTCGAAGGGGAATCCCCTTCCATTAGGACTTGAGGTAGCAAGTCCTTTTCCGGGGTTACTTCCCTTCTTTTAATGCCACTAGGACCAGCTTGAGAGTCACTGGACTTCTGTCGCACAACATAACTGGCAGCCTCACCATGCCTAATCACACTATGTATGCCACTACGATTCTTAAATCTTTCAAACCAACCTTTGCTGGCCTTAAATTCACTCACATCACCACTAGTTGCAGGCAATTTCTTTACCAAATCGTCATGCAACTGCCTAGCCTTTTCACAAATGATCGCTTGAGAGATGCTATCTGTTTTTCATTTATCCACACCAGTAACAATCTCTCAACATTTTCTAACACTTGCGGTCACTGTTTCGTAATCACAGTTGCACCTTTTGCAAGAACAGCTTCCTTGATTGCCATTTTCCTGGTCACTATAATAGAGATGGTTGATTGGGGTTTATTATACAACCTGACCAGCTCCGACACACGCACTCCACTTTCGTACTTTGCAATTATCTCTTTCTTCATTTCATAAGTCATTAGCGACTTTTTTCTCGAAGGGTTGGCACTAGAAGCTTTCTTGGGGCCCATGGTGATTTATTTTGCAGAAACAAGCACCAAACACAGTGATAATATGGATAATATGGAATGTACCGAATGTATCCTTAGATGCGCGCACACTGGCTGGCTTGTAAACACTAGCACACACAGAGCAGTTCAGGCCACACGTGGACAGATCTCATACGAATCGTATCGAATACCGGGTTTTCAATCGAATACCGAGGAAAATTTTTTGCGTTAAAATGCATTGAAAACCCGGGATTTATCGAATACCGATGCCATCAAATACCGGGGGTCCACTGTATACCGCTAAGCGGCCGCTAAGGGCCAGAATGAACTCCGCTATTTATGGTCGATTTTTTCTTTTTTGGTGACTGAAGAAGAATCTTTCCATCATACTTTCCCCAATTTGAAAAAATCCCCCCAAAAAACAACTGAAAAAATAAAAATAATTAATAATAAAATAATAAAAAATACTTTATTTACTACACAACAGTAAAAGGGTATACGGGCCTAGCTGGCTCAGAAATTTTATTCAGGTTACACAAATACATTTTACATAGAATTATCATACATAGCAGCATATTTTAGAGAACCTAGGAAAACCCCAAAAAAGTCAGTGATTTTTTTCCCTTTTTGGGGCCCTTTTTAACTTATTTTTAAAAATATAAATGTTATAATTTTTTCTTATTATTCTATAATGAAGATAACACTTATTAACATACTAAAAAGACTACTACTACAGGGGGGGTCTTTAAACTACTACAACGAGGTCACTATCTACAATGAAGTGAAACTACTGTATAAAAAGGGCACTTTTTATGCGGTATTTCAAAAAATTTAGTCAGTTTCCTAGGATAACCCCACACTATCGGCTAACACCCAGGACCCATTTACTAGGGTAAACAACAACAGGTGTAAAGAAACACCCAAGGGGTTTTCCCCGGGCGGGGAATCGAAATTTCCCAAAAAAATCATATAGGCAACCCAAGCCGGTACTAAAAATAACCCACGTTCTCTACACATATCTGCTATGTGTGAAATCTCAGAGAGAAATAACTTTTTTGTTTCATGTTTATGGGGAGAAAACGGGGTTATACATATTTTACCCGTACTACACTCCGTTTTCTCTAATATAAGCCCCAGGACAAGGATAGGAGAATGGGATTTTTTTACCAATCCTCTTCATAACTCTGTCGAACTACTCGGGGTTTTGCCAAAATATTCATTCTGGAGCATTTAACATTTTTATGTTTTTATATTTTTTCTTTTGTCATTTAGATCAATTTTGATAGCAAAAAAAGCTGTATGTTGAAATTTTCGTAAAATAAAGCATATTTTCTGCTTCATGAGACTGAGCCATGCAACCACAGTGGCTTCAAAACCACCTTATTTAAAGGTAATGTGTGTAGGGGCTTTTCATAATGAGAAGCATTTTCTTTTATTCTTGGGAACCCGGGGTGGGAAACGTGCAGGTTAAAACAATACATGGAGAAAAAGAAATTGGAATGACTTTTCAAAATAGCGCCCCAAACATACCGGGAGGTTGGTGGGGCGGCCCGGGAAATTTAAATTATGCTACCCAAAAATTATGCCGAAAAACTGAGGAAACCCGAATAATGTTTGCCAGTTTTTGTAAAGGCGGCCCTTAAATAATTATATATTATAATAATATAAAATATTATATAATATATAATAAAAAACCTGGAGTTTACCCCCCGGGAAAACTCCAGGTATGTATGTATAAAAGTATGTAGAGTAATTATAATATAATATAAATATATATATATATATAATAATATATATATTAATATATAATAATATATATATATAAAAATTTTAAAAATATAAATATATATATATAATTAATAAATATATATATAATATAAAATATATATAAATATATATATAAATATAATATAATATAATATATATATATATATTAAATATATATAATATAAATTATAAATTAAAATATATATTTTTAAATATAATATATATAATAATTTTTAAATTATATATATATTATAAAAATAAAATATATAATATATATAATATATAAAAAATATATATAAATATATATAAATATAAATATATAGGTATAGGTTGGGTAGACAGCAACCACACAGGGAGGTACTACCACCGCCAATGAGTGTAAAACAAAAGCCTGAATTTGTTTTACATGATGGTAGGTTTGCTGGGCCCTTTTGTTTTCCATAAATTGCAAGATTACAGGTACTCTTGCTACTTACTTACATTTTAGGTCACACTACACATACATGACACATTTTTTTTAACAACTCTCGATTTTTTTTGATTTTACTTAAATTTTTGGGGTCTTATTATTTTTTCCTTTTTTAACCAGGGGGAAGTGAAAAAGCCCCCGTAAGCCATGCGTGTTTAAAAGCAAAAAAAAATCCCGGGAAAAGGGGCTAGTAACCCCTTTTCCGTAAAGATTACAAAAAAAGAAAAAAAAAAAATTGTCAAAGGGAAGTCGAATTGCGGGATGTTGTGCAAATGAAAGAAAGAGATGATTGGGGAGTTTAATGAGAAGAAACGGGTGTCCTGGCTTAAGTGAAACAAAGCGAAGGGGGGGGAGATTTCAAAAAGAGGGAAAAAATGGGATTAGGGCAG